ATTTTGTGATTGATCAATTGTTTATGAGATACTTAGGTAAATATTTATATGTATAAGAACATAGATGATGTCTGATCCAAAGATTTATTTTAAGTCCTTTTTTCATCTTAGTTTCGTTTAGATAATACATAATACGCCAAGAGAATTTATCTTATTTTTTTTTTGTTTCATTTGAAATTATTTACTATTAATCGAATCAATTTTATTTTTTGAGAAATTAAGTCCTTTGCAAAGTGAAATAGAATAGAATTTCTTGTTCAATTTTTAAATCAGTTGATCGTTAATAAACAATAAATAGCTGTGCTAAAGAATTATCATGAAATTCTTTGAAAAGCAATCTTATTTCATTTATAGCTAGTTATTCATATTTCTTTTTTTTATTTCAATGTTGTATTTGATATGAAAAGAGATACAAAAGACAGATATGACACTACAATCCAACTGTTTCACAACTTATTTTCCATAAATATTCGGCCGATTTTTCATCTGTACATAATGGAATAGGTTTAGCAGGTGCACAGTTCCTTAAAAAAGTATATCACTTGATATTTGTGTTTGTTGATTAATTTAATACATACTCATAATACAAATCACTGGATTGTTCTAATGATGGTTCAACAGCACAATAGACAGTTGTACGAGCACCTACATACGGTGTTTTAGCAAAAATAAATTTAAGAATACGTAGTAATGGATAAACAATAGGAAAGAGCCATATACCAACTGCTGGGCGTAATGGATCTTGAAAAGAAGTCCATACCCATCCTGGATTTAATGCAAATACATGAACACCTTGATCTATTAAATAAAATAACGCTTAGTTGAAAGTAAAGAAAAATATTCAGAGATTACTAAGTAGATCATGTTTAAGTTTGTAGGATGATAAAATCTGACATGCTTTAGACGGACAATAAGAACCCCACAGAGCATCTGTTTTAAAATTTGTTAATGCTGTCAATCCTTCGTTCGTTCGAGGATCTATAAACAAAACAAAATAAGATAAAATTAAAACTTTATTCACCTTTTTTTTTTCTCACATTTATGTGCAATAGATGAGACATTAATAATTCGACTGGGTTTGCATTTTTTTAATTTATCCAGAAGAAGATTTGTTAATAGAAAATGACCCAGATAATTAGTTTGCATGACATAATTCAATCCATCTTTACTATAAATATTCGGTGCATAAATAAGACCAGCATTACAAATCAATACATCAAGTCTATCTTCTTCACTGTTATATAATTTAGCAAATTTACGAACAGAATCAAAAGAAGATAAATCACATTCCATTAATCGGATATTTTTCTCGTTACATTTAGTTTCAAAACAAAGTTTTATTAATGCTTGATGACCTTTATCCATATTACGACAAGCGATAATAACACGAGCGCCTACAAAAAGAAATCCTTGATAAACATCAAAGAAACATTAAATCAAACCTCGTCGAAGAAGATCTTTAGCTGTTTCATATCCAATACCAGCATTACCACCAGTAATAAGAACTGTTTTACCGTGCATAGATTGCATGCTTGAATACAATAATCGATTCATCCAGAATTTATTAAATAACCATGTTGATATTACTGAAAATATCAAACTATGCGAAGAATTATATGTCAAAAGCAATTATCATACTTAGACACATCAATATAAAAATAATTGTACGATATTGATCGAACAGTTGATATACGCATAACAAGAGATAATCAATCATTGATAAAGACATGACGACCCTTGAATTTCAATCTAGGTATATAAGAATATAAATAATATATTTTTTCAATCGAAGAACATATTTATATGTCTATTCAAATGTATTTAAGTAATATCGTCATCATTCTGCATAGTTTGTTTCTTATCTTCTTCGTTCTTCGCATTTTTTTAAATTGAAACACAGACAGTCAGCTGATACATGTTCGAAATAAGTATGATATCATTCCACACATCGTTGTCTAGATAAATTGTTAATAAAAACTAAGAATATCCGAACCTTTCAATGAGTATTAATTTCTACTCAAAAAGCTCAAATCAATTCGTCATGTTTTAGACTGATTAATGAAGTTTTAATAAAGAAAAATATAAATGACAATTCAATTTTAATATGTATTTATTTTATTTTATTTTATTTTAATGTGTATGTATATATATGTTAGACAAACTGAATCATCATGCTTACATACACTTCATTCACCATTGATCAATATTCTGTAGTACAACAACAATTCCACTTCTATCTGAGAGTCTATATACAAAACAAAAATCACAATCATCTTCAATTCACAATACTAGACATAGATAATAGTAGGTGGTCCAGTAATCATTTGATATTGTTGTTGAGATGATTGTTGTTGATGAGATTCCTCATTACCAGTACTAATTACTTCATGTTCATAATCACCATCGTTACTACTTGTACTACAGTGTAGTATAAGTGTATCATCTTCATTCCATGTTATTGGTTCAAGTTCATTATTTATTGAATTAGTACCTGTTGTATTTGTTCCAAGAATTGAATGTGTTGATGTTTGTTCAGTTGATGTTAATGGAATATTACTTGATGATGATAATTTTTGTTTAGTATTTTTCATATCATTTGGTATTAACATTAAATCATATTGATAAGAAAACATACTTGATGATTTGGAATTAATTATTGTTGGATGATGAGAAAGTTTAGGCGAATATTGATTTACATTAGATAATTGATTCGATGATGATATCGATCGACGTCCTGACTTTAATAAAATAAATATAAGAATGATAATAATAAGTACAAGAATAAGAATGAGAATAGAAAATATAATAATTATTGAAAAGCCAAAACGAGATGGAGGTATTGGAACTAAAACACACACACATATATATATATATAAATTCTAGTTTCAAAGTTAAAAAAAAAAAAAAAGATAATTTTTCAATTAAACATACGTTTCTCTTGATCATTACTAAAATATAATTGATCTCGACAAATAGGACAACAATGACCGGATAATGTCACTGTATGTAAACAAGTTAATGTAGGACATTTTTGTTGATGACATACAATTGTTCCAAGTGAACATTCACAATGATGACATTCACTTACCTAAAATATTTTTCGAAATAAACAAAAACAAAACAAAAAAATACGATCAACTTACATTCCAATGTTCACCTGAACGATATTGTACAAAATTAAAAATACAAACAGCTACAGCAGCTGTTGGTGGAAGACAAAAAGGACAACATTGACCTTTTTTAAGAACTGGATTAGAACATGATAATTGTTGATTACATATTTGAGAAAAACATTTAATTTGTCCAGTACCATCACGTGGACAAAGACATGATTGACAATCATTAGTTTTCCATAATTCTCCAGCATTTTTTATTATACCATTATCAAGTATACAAATATCTTCATTTGTACTTGATAGATCTATTATTGATGAAAATTCAGATGTTATTGGACAAATAGGACAACATAAAGAAGAATCATATATTGGTGATGAACAAGGAAATGGTGGACATAATGATATACTACAAAATGCAATGTTATGTAAACATATACATTTTGTACATTTATCAAATTCAAGTTCTTCACCAGTTACATATTGACTAGCATAACATACTTGTGATGATGGAATTGGTTCTGGTAACATAGGAATATCTTTAGTAAAAAGAAAAATATAATTAATTTAATAAAAAAAACAAAAACAAAATTCAACCTGGACATGAAGGACAACATCGATTTGGTAATATAATAGGTTGTGAACATTTTGGTGTTGGACATGATATAAGTGCACATAATTGTTCACCTTTATGACATAAACATTGTCGACAACCATCAAACCATATTTCACCATTTGAATATGAAAATTTATCCGATAAACATTGTCTTGGCCATGTATGTAATATAACTTCTGTATTTAAAGTAAAATTACTTTCACAAACACATATTGGACAACCAACATCATTTTTTTTTAATCCATATGTACAATTTTTTTTACATATTAATTGTGGACATGAATTACAAGCACAATATGGACAACCAGTTTTTTTATCAATTGAATAACTATATGGACAATGTTTATCACAATAAAATTGTTGACAATTAGTATTTAATGGTGGTTTACATAAACAATATTGTTTTGATAATTTATCAAATTTAAGTGTACATAATGGTGTTGGACATGACATCGTTGAACAAGCACATTGAAAACAACCATGTTCATCTTTAGTTAAACCATGTTCACATACAAGTAAACAATTATTTAATATTGGACATTTATAAATTGATGTTTGTATTATTGATTGAGTTATTGTATCAAGATCTTGTGAATATTGTCCTTTATTTTCATCATCATCATCATCATCATCACATACAGGACAACACACATTTGCTATTTGACGAGGATTTTCACATGGTGGAGCTATACATCCTTCAGCTATACAACGTGATCGACCATTTTCACACCAACATCGCATACAACCATTTGATTCAATCCAAGTTGAATTCATATGTTGAACATGAAAACGATCATTTAAACAACCTACGTAAATATTAATAAATAAAAAAAAAAAGAAATTAATCTTTCTAACTGATATAAAAAGATTAACTAACCTCCACATTTTGGACAACATTCATTTTCTGGTTTATACATATATCCACAATGTGTATAAATAGGACATTGTATCATAGCACAATCAGCATGTCCATCACGACAAGTACATGTTGTACAATGATCAATTGACCATGTTTCATTCTCATTATAGATTTTTTTATCATGATGACATTGTTGAGAATCTTGAGTAAAGCGAAAAACAAAAAAATTTCATTATTGAGATATAAATTATGACAGCAGTTTTTCAACAATTTTCAAATACTCGAATCAAACAATCATAAATTATTTTACTATTCTTATCATAGAATTCATTCTTTTAGAGATTTCTATTAGCTTATATTTCAAAACAACAGAACTAATAAAAAAAAATGTTATCAGTTGTATTATGTGATGTAGTAAATGATATCTACTTTCGGTAAATATTATTTATATATTTTCAAGTTCTAATTTGATACTTAAAAGATTTGTAATTGAATACCATATTAGATGCTATTTCAGCATTATCTAGAAGTCTCTAATAACAATCTATATATACTTAACAGATATTATCTGTCTGATATTACCAGCTGATTTCATCTTTAGTAAAAGAGCAAATTATTTCTCTGCAAAAAAAAAGAAAAATGAATTCTATGATGAAAACTCACTATTCCTTTATACATAAAAATTATATTATGAAGATTCTTATGAGCTATGAATATTGTGAAAATGGTGTTTTTTTTCTTCTTAAGAACATCAGAAAAAATTAATTTTCGAATTTCAATTTGAAACTATGTACATATATATTAATCTTTAAGTGAATAGTTTATTGTGAATATCATAGTATATTCCCTCCCATTCTCACCTACTCTTAATGCAATTAAATTGAGTACAACATTGTCCCGGAATATTTGGATTGCCTGTACGATATATTTGAATAATGGAATTTTCACCACACATAATTTCAGGACAAGATGAACATACACAATGACCTCGAGATTTACAACAGATTGATGAAAGATCTGTTGATTGGGATAATGATGTTTGTAATAAAGGAGTATGATCTTCGACAAATCGACTATCTGATGAACAAATTGATGTATTATTACAAATAATATTTGAACAATCGATTAATTCTTTAGCTAAAAAGAAAAAAAAAAAACAAAAAATTTTTGTTTAGATTTTATCATTATAGATTTAAGCATGCAAATAAAAATAAATGAAACAAATAAGAATGACTTATTTTTTTAAATTTTTTATTCAACTTCTTAGATGTACCCAAAAAGCTACTATCAATGTGTTTATTAATTTAATAATCTATAGTTGAAATAAAGATTAATCAATAAAATATCTTTCTTTCATAAATAATCTTCTACTTTTATATGACATTCAAATAGTGTCATATGTATATGTACTTATTTCGACAACTTATTCTATAATAAATCTTCATTAAGGACAAAAAGAGCATATGGATGATACAGTTCTGAAATCATTTATTGATACTTTCGCATGAGTTATAGGGCACAAGAAAGATCACAGTTGGTTCTGTCTTTTATTTTGTACCAGATATATACAAATGACCTCATCACTTTAATGTTTTTATTTAAGATCTTATGGCAAAAAAAGTCAAGGTAATTAATCGATAACAAGATAATATAATTATAAGTAATATTTCATTCACAAGAAAATTTACACTTACTATTAGTAGTTTTCAAAGAACTTGAATCATGTTCTTGTTCAAGATCAGTTTGATTATTACAATTATCTTGTATATTATATTCAAAATTTTCATCACAAGGTACATTTCTATTAATACATTCACATATGGTTTTATTATTTTTAATAATTGATAAACATTGAAATTTTAAACATGCTAAAAAATTTCAAAAAAAGAAAAAATATATTTCATTATCCATAAAAAAAAACTATAGTAAACCTTTTACACAA